CGGCAGTTTCTGAAGATGAGTCTTTATTTGGTGATTGGCATTCCATGTCAACTTTGGTGAGATGAAGTGTGGATAAATCTCAAACTGAATTTTATAGCATTTCAGAGAATAAGAGTGGTAAAACCAGTTTGCTTAGGAATTTTCTGTAGGTAGTAAGGCTACAATCAAACAAACTTTATTTCCCCTTGTAGATGTAACCTTACTACATTTTTTTCTAAAATTTTCTAGACAATGCCAGTATCCATCATTATCAATGCTCTCTAGTGAAAATAAATGGGAAGTATTTCAAGTCAATAGTGAGAAAGTCAGTACAGAGGTTTGCACTGAAGTGGGTTTCTACAATTCATGAAAGTATTTTCCAAGATAGATCTGCCTATTGGGAGGAACTAAATTATTATTGTTCATTTTTGAGTAACTGTCAAGATTTTGGGCCATTTCTTATTTCATATTTGGCCATGTCTACGACTTATTTTATATCCACGGTTGGCCACCTGCAGATCCATAGGGAAAACACTGTCTCCAATGACTAGGGCACTGCTGCTAACTGATGTGAGAATAATTTTTCCCGGAGGCAGGATTTGACATCATAGACTTTTCTTAACTCTGAGCTATAAGAAGAAATACCAATCAAGAGGAGATCACACTTGATGTGATGCCTCTTCCCAGCTCTGTCAGAGGTCCATGACTTTTTGTAACCAGTAAATCCTTTTGAAAACATAAAATATCAATTTCCTCCCCTGCCCAAAAACCCTCCAGTGATTCCTCTCACACTTCAAAAAAAAATCCTACCTCCTCATCTAAGACCTAAAGGACTCATCCACTCGATGGCCTCCTCCTGTTCTCTCCATGGTCATACTTCTCCAGCCACATTAACTTGTAATTTGTCTACATTTTTCTCCCCTCTTATATGTAAGCTCCATCAGGAAAGATGATGTTCTGCTGTATTCAGGACAGTATCTTCAGCGTCTGCCATGCTGCCTGGGTCCTAGTGAGCACTCAGGAAGAATCTGAGCTTGTGAGTGCATCTGAAGCATGGACATGCTGACTGAAACATGGCATGTCAACGTTAGCATTCTCTCTCCAGCTCACAGGCCCTGTGACCACTCAGTACCACTGTAGCAGAGTATAAATATGAAAGTAGATGATCTCATTTAACTCTATGAGCTGGACAGAACCTTCTGGAAGAGTGAGGAAGATGTCTCTGCAGGTTACATCGTGACATGAAGATACGCTTCTCTCAATCTTCCTGCATGGACTATCCCCCTCCAACTTCTGCTTTCATGGCTTTCCCATCACACTCAAGAGCGTGAACAGAGGGGCAAGGGTTCAAGCTTCCTCAACTCTGCAACTCTGAAAATATGTACTAAGAACCACATGTCAGACACTAGACATCCACAGAGGGCATTTTGAAATTGACAATTTATGGGAAGGGCTTAAAAAGAGGCTTGTACTTAGCAGGTGGAGGGGGGTTCTGGTATCTGTAAAATAAATCGTGTTTAAGATGCCAAGGCAGGGGCTGAGAAGAGTATGACAATTCTCCAGCCTGGTTTGATGGCTACAGCTGAGGAGGCTGAGGAAGAGAGTTGCAGATATCAGTGAGAATAACAGGCTGGGGATAAGAAGACCTGCCTTTGAGTTCTGGCTCTACAACACACTAGAGATGTGACCCTAGGCATGCCACACAATCTGTCTGAGCCTCAGTTCTCCAGTGTCCTGGTCTGTAAGATGGGATACAATATTAGGATAATAACTGAGAGTGATCCTAAATACCAAATGAGATAATATATTAAAATTCTACATAAATAACCTACAAGAAAAATGTAGGTTATTATACTATGGTATTAAATACTATGGTATTTACTATGGTAAGTACTATGGTATATACTATTAAATAAATACTATGGTATTCCATTTTTAAATAATGTACATTCTCCCTCTAGAATTAGGAAGTCTAGATCTATTTAGTTTTGAGGCCCTATCCAGGCTTGTGAATAGGCAGGACTTGTGAAATTGTTTACTTCCTTACAAAGCCTTTGTGCAAGAGTTCATACATAAATGTTGCCTTCAAAGTCTGTGTGTTTAGCTTTGGGCATAGAATGCTTAAAATACTACCAATCCACCATTTGCTTCCAAAGCAAATTCTTCTGTATTTATCATGCTTCCTTCATTGTAAGAAAGTCCATCTTCATGATTTCCTTAATCAGATGACCTCTTATACTGACTAACTTTCTCTTAGGAACAGTATTGTTAGAAATGCTCTGTTCTCTTTCTTGAATTGTGGAAAAAAGAATTATTTTCTTTCTAAATTTCATTTGTTTTTATTGCTTCCTGTTTAGCAGCAATCTTTTTCTCCCTGAATTTTACAGTGCCTCCCATTTTGAACTCCCGAATAATAATTGGTTACTAAGTAGCTGTCGAATGTTGCTTTGGTGGGAAACACGTAAGAGACTAACGAACTTACACATGAAGTCTACATTTTATTTTAGAGCCAAACCATGTTATCCAAAGTGATATTTGTAGTTCTGAGTATTTTACTAAATACAGAGATCATATTCTGGCTATTTTTTGAATAATCTTCTTTATAAAGTAACTATCGATAAAATGTGCTTTAGAAGAACAATGAAAAGTTGGAACAATACATATGCAGGAGCACAATCTTACCACATGTAATGCTAGGAAAAGCAATGAACTAATCAACTAAAACTCAAACAGTTGGAAACATCTCTGGCCTTAGATTCCTAAACTTATAAAGGAGAAAGCAAAACTAGATGCCTTCTGGGCTTTTTGCAGTTCTTATGTTTAAGTTGTTAAAGTAGTTAGGGCACAACCAAAACTTTACTCACTCTCAACTCAAGCATTCGGGGTTTTCCTTTACAGCAGGAAATTCCAAAGACTTTTCAGAATTCTCAATTACTCACCTTGATTCTACAGTCTGGAGGGCTTCAAATGTCAACCTGTGCTCTGCCTTGATTTGGGGTTACCACACTTTGGAGTTAGAGTAAGGAGGTGGAGTAGGGATGGTTCCTAACTCTTCAGAAATGGACCCTAAACTGCTATTTTCTTCCCCTGGGGATATGTATCTTCCTCTAGTGGAGTGTTAGGGCCAGGTGACAGACTAGGGCTTCCCTGGATGGTCTGGTTACAGAAATACTGTTCTTTCTACACGTCTTTCTTTTTTATCCGTATTACATGGAAGGACTTGCAGATTTGCTTCCTTTTTCTCAGTCAACGATTTTGTCTCCCCTTGGCTTCCTGAAGTCAATTCAGGAAGCACTTTTCACATTGACAGGTATCTGCAAGCCCAAAGCTTTGTTGGAATAACTTTCTTGCTTGTTAGCACCCATGCCTCATACCATATAAATAGATTATTCTTCTGGAACCCCATTATCTTTGTTGTATTATTTGTCTGTACTGGTGCTTGTATACAATATTAATAACTTAAACACTATCTCCCAATTTATATATGCCCACCGGGAGACTCAAATAAATACCTATGCTATACATTCAATAAAATTCAGGGCAACATACATTTTTGAACACCAAATATTACTATACATAGTCCTTGATCTCATCAAGTTCTCAATCTGTTAACTTCATTTGCACTGTATCTTAGTTCTTTCCAGAACACATTTATGATGAAGATAAATTCACTTCACACCAAAATAAACAAATGACTCTATGTTTTCTAGAGCAAAGTGTGGCAGAATGAATGACTGTCTTGTTTCTTTCTGCATCTAACTTTATTCACTTAAAATCTTTTCATACTGTTTTCTTTCCATAGCACTAATATGGGGTAGTTAAAACTCCTTGGAACATTTATAAAGAGCTATGTTCTCACTTAAAATCCATTAAAACCAAGTGGAGTAGTTAGAAAATGCTTCTTGTTTGGTTAAAAAAAAGTGAAAAAAACATCTACTTTAAACTGTTCAGTCTCTAGTCTTATAGAACATGGAAGTTATTTTAAAATTTCAGTGAAGTACAAAGAGTTTTCTTGGAGAGCCAAAGAAGACAAAAGAATTCTCAGCACACTGCAGTTTCAGAAGAAAAATATTAAGAGTAAAAATAGTTTCCCAACTCAGTCACTATTTGGGATTGATAATTTATTCCTGATGGTCCCCCAAAAGAGAGGAAGAAGAGAAAAAGAACACACTTGGCTTCCTCAACAGAAATTATTTATAGCTATTTTCCTGCACAAAACAACAGGCTGTTAGATCTTCCATAAAATCCCTTTCAGTAATTTTATGGTGGGTCTGCATTTTATAATCCATGTTTTATATCCAAGAAAAAGAAAAAAAGCAGCCAACAACAAAGTCATTTTACAATAATTTACCCCAGTGATTTTTATTAAATTTCCAATTTCAATCCTTTCATCCTTCCTATCAAAATTAAATAGACCATGGTTGAGATTATTGTTGTAAATTTAATTATTAAAACTAAACATTTCATGACTGCCACCTACTGGTGAGAAAGAATATGACAACCTATTTTAAAAGTTATGTCAGATTTTCCAGTTTAGGGTTTACATATTTTACATTAAAAAAGATTGAGTGCTATACAGTAGGTCATTAAGAACATGTTACATGTTTAAAAGCAAATTAAATGACCATATATATGTATTTTTAAAATTCAAACATGATGTTTTTCTTGTTACAATTTTTTATTGTCACTATTATTATTACAAGAAGTCACACAGATGGATTGTTGTACCACAACTAAAATGTTGTTTTTTCAGACCATGATGGAATTAATAGTTACTACAAGACTGGCCAGTCAAATTAAGCCAAGTACATAGAGCGAAAATCTCTCTTGAAGGATGTCATTAATTCTATCTTTACAGACAACTTCAAACCAAGATGATCAATTCACTAATAGGCAAACTATGCAATGGCAAAAGTAACCAGAATTTGTCAATGTAATATATTACCTTGATGGGGAGCATTTTATATATTTGCCCTTTACACAGAATAAGCACTTAGTCATTTGTAATTAATGAAACATACCTGGTTTAAAATGTGGTAAAGAATGAACTCCAGGCCACGTGTCTTCGTTTGGCGTTCCAAGAACCTGAGGGAGAGGAGGAAATTGTGGAAACAGATTTAGTATTTCTGAGGCACTCAAAATTCTCCAGTATAGGAAAGAGGACACAGCATATGATGAAACTCTGGATTTTTTTCCCATTATCATGTGTCAGGGATTTTATTTCAGTAAAAACAAACCAGGCTAAAGAGCCACCCAAGATGAATGTCTATGTTCCAGCCAATGCAGCTGACTGTGGTAAGACCAGTTAATTCTGCTGCATTTGATCAACTCCAAACTTAATACGTAGGCTTAAGACTCAGACGATTAGCCGTCATCTTCATGGAACTGAGGAAAGTTTGGATGTGTCCCTCATGATTTTTTCATGAGCTTTAGCCCTTCACTCAAGCATCAGATCTCTTGTCATTTAACAACTCCAAGAACTCTGTCATTTCTTCCCCAAGTCCTCTGTCTGAGCATCAGAATATTTTAAAGGACAGATAGCTTGGGAGATGCACAGTCTCTATTGGCCATAGTTCTCATTATTCCTAACATCTTTACTTTTATGGTTTATACTTTCCTCTTCCCAAAATACAATTCTTCCTACATGCTTTTCTTTTTTATCCATATTGCACCATCTTTCCCCATCTACTTTTCTCCCACCACAATATTTGATCTTGTTAAAGAAATTAAAGAGAATTCTAGCCCACATATAACTGCCCACATGCCATTGAAATATTCAGCTCCACCATCTACTCTCCACTATTGAAGTAAGTCGCCTAGTAGAGCTGAAAGGTTGACAGCCCATACCCTGAAAGCAGACTGTTTAAATTCCTGCTCCCCTACCTGCCACCCCTGTGGCCTTGGGCAAGAAGTAACCTCACTGAGCTTCAATTTTCTCATTTGCAAATTAGGGTGACAACAGCACCTACCTCATTTGCAGCAAAAACACCACCCCCTAGCACCCTGTAAGCACTATGTAAGTATTAGATATTATGCAAAGCACTCACAGAAAACAGGGTCAGGTCAGGGAGGCACTGCCCTTTAGGAGAGAACTCGAACTAGGACCAACATGGTTAAACAGGTCAAAAGGGCAAAGACTAGAAAGCTGGCAAAGGAGGCAGAATGACAGAGAGATGCGAGGAAATGAAGCTCTTCACTATATCTCTGAGGATGAGCAGGTACTACTGGGCAATAAGTACATACAGAGCTCTGATTACATATCCATTTATTTACACGGGATGTCAGAGGACTGTGTAAGTCCAGTGAGAGCTTCATGCTCCCTCCACACCCTGGAGGATCAAGGTTACATTCACGGATTATGCACCTCCTTGAACATAACTAGACACTGAATCTGGGCTCAAGGGATCAATGATACAATTATTCTTTTACATTGTAACTGGTTATTTTGCAAGCACTGGTTGACTCCTCTCCTAATAAAAGTCTGATTGCTATCCTGAGTGTACCTGTTCCAACAACGTTTGTGTTAGCAAACACTCCCACAGGTATTCTCATCCAAATCCAGTGTCCTATTTCAGAGTGACTGTCGAAAGTATGGGCTTCTCATAAAAATTATTTGCAAAGAGAGAACACATAAGACTTTTAAGTTTTTACAGTAGTGACTGATGACATGCCAGGACCTCAAATTCTTCTCCTGCCGACCGCTCTTGGGCCATCTGCGTAGGAAATACAAAGTGGGTAGAAAGTGGGCAAAGGAAAAGAAGATTTAAAAAAATCTATTTTTGTTTCCGTAAGTCTTTTTGGAAAAACAATTCAGGTTAAATGTCAAGATGACAGACTACTTGGCACTAGGAAAGTGGGTGTGCACAGATTCTGAGGTCAGATTTTCATCTATATTAATTGACAAAGAATTCCAGGACCAAGACACTTTTAAAATATTAGAAGGAAAAAGAGGTATTCTCGAAAAGTCAAAGGTAGCTTTTTTTTTTTTAAAGATTTATTAATTCGTTTATACAAGCACTGGGTACAGTCAGAAGCGCGGGAGGGTGAGAGAATTCACCAGAGCCAGAGCGGGGAGCAGAGCAGGCAGAATGACGAGGTACACTGCTGAGGGGAGCAGCGGGCGGCAGGAGAGGTCTGGGCGCCAGGTGGGACCCTCGCGGGCGGCCGGGGATGGAACCGGCGGTGCAGAGGCTGCGGGCAGCTTAGCAACCCAGCGCTCAACCACTGCGACACCAGGGAGGCCCCAAAGGTAGCTTTTTGTAAATAAAACAGTGTGGAAGAAAATTCCATCTGATGTGCCATCAATATTCAAAATGGGATCCCCACCACTGTCAACAAGCAGGCTTTGAACATCGTAGGTCACTTCAGCCTTACAACAGCATGGTCTGATATGCTAAAATGTCTTCCAGGGATTTGTTTAAGCAGCTTCCCCTGAAGCCTGTGCCCAGGGCTTGTACTTTCCCCTGTTCCTTTATCGGTCCATCTCTTCACTGTGCTAACATTTATTGTGTTCACTAGAGAAGATGGGAAGGTGAAACTAGGGTTCCACCAGGAGGTGCGCCCACCCTGGCGAGGGAGAGGAAGGGGGGCAGGGAAGAGGTAGTGTGCTTGAGGCTGCCTGGGGGAAGGGAGAGGATAATTGAGTGGGAGAGGGAACACCGATTCTATTTATAGTTGGGTTGGTAGGGGAAATGGTTTGGAATGAGAATGTTCTAGTTACAAGGAAAGGCTATGTCAAAATACTTTAATTCTCCAAATTCTTATGCAGCTCAGGCCCCATGACCACTCATATTAGTTTCCTCTTGGGGGATGCCCTGGCCTTGACTTGTCCAGGTTAATGCCTATTTCTAGCTTTGTGCACAGGTCACCTTTTTCTTGAGTTTCTGGATTCTCAGGCCCAAGTTCCTAGCTATAATCTTTGGGATCCCCGAGGGCTATGTGCAGCGTTCTCTGAAAAGGACTATGCGTTGCCTCATGACTGTCAGGTTACTTGTCTGTTTCCCCACTGGCCCATGGACCTCTTAGATGGAGATCATGGTGTTCCCCATTGGATCCTGTGCTTATCATGTGTCTGGCACTAAACTTAGTAAATGCTGACTGACTGACTGAGAGGTGTGTGCCTGGATTGTAGACCGCGTTGTGGAATGGGATGCTAGGGCCAGACACTGAATCCATGGAGACTGCACTTTATCTGTTCCAGGTTTCTCACGTAGAGTAACATCACCCATGGAGGGTTGTGGATTCCATATAGGGCATTGACATGAGCAGCTTTCAAAAGATGAAATATATGGTAAAGACACATATTGTTTTAGGAAACTTTTGTTTAAATAAATCTGTGTGTGTATATGTGCATTATGAGTCACAATGTACAATTTTTTTTTGTTTGTTTGTTTTACTGTTTAAGAGCCATTTTGTAGAAACAAGAAGTTATCAGCTGAAATAAAGAAAGCAGACAATAGAGCATTTTGGAGGCAGTGAATTTACTTTTGGACCTATTCTTATTCAATGTTGGAAATGCTGTAGGTTAGGTTGGAGGATGTGTAAAGGGTAGACATGGGCCTTGGGAGAAGAATTCAAGATAGAGAAAAACATTTGGTACTCTAGCATTTATATGGCAGTAAAAAGCAAATGCCAAAAAATGAACTACAAAATGGTCTTATTTCCCTGTCGATATCACGCATACACAATTCCCAGAGGGCATCTCAGTGATTTCCTAGACTAGTTAGCATTTGGGAGGAAAAGCAAGAGATGATCTCACCTTATCAGTAGAGATTTACTGTCTGGCCCTGATGAACTATGATTTAGTGACCTCAAACTTACTCTTTGTGTTCACCCCTGCACAGATGGGTCTGGCATAAAGGCCACCCATAATCTCACCTTTGATGATGCCAGAGAAAGATGCTGAGAAAACAAAGCAGAAACATCTACTTTAGGAACAACAGGGGGAAAAAAAGCAAATTCTGAACTTCCAGAGCTCAGAATTATTAGATATTTATCAGAAATATCTACTTATCCTTCCAAATTATTAATGATGCCACTAATTCCTAAATTTCTAGTCTTTGCTTTTGGATACACCCTGGGGCTGGGGCTGTTAAACAGCAGTTCATGGGCTTTCCCTGAATAAAACCGATGGTTTAAGCACAACAAGGACTAGGATATCTTCTTAAGTCAAGAGTACAGAGAAATCTCTAAGGCAGACACTGGCACAGAGGAATCCCGACTGATCTGATGCAGATAAAACTGGCTCATAGCAATAATATGCTAATGAAGTGCCATAGAACATTCTGGATTCCCACTTCAATATTTTCCATTTTATGAGCTGGACACTCTTGAGGGCTGTTGATGACTCAACATTCAGTTATAAACTCTGAGGAAATGGACAACTTACTGATTTTTATGACTTTTAAACTGAAATACATGTATATACAATAAGAGCTCTGAAATAATATTTTCTCTGAAATAATGATTATTTTGTGGCTGTGCTATTTAGGTTCTGGCAGATTTTTTTTTCTGGCTCCTTGGTGAGAAGTACTAAATGAAACTTGTGAAGAGGTTTGGCAGATTCGGCTTGGATATTACACGTGGCACTCTAGAACAGATGGCAAGCAGCTAACCACCAGAGGAGACAGAGAAAAAGCAGCACTTCCCTAACTCTTATCCTACTTGTGTACTCTCCATCTAGAAAAACAATTACCAAGTGGAAATGTGGAAGAGACTTATTCCAGAGATACTTGAACCTTAAGCTGCACATAAATAGCAGAATGAATGTGTAAAGGGCAGAGCAGGTGGTGATGAAAAGGAATGGCTCCGGGTCCAATGGCTTCCTGAATGATGCAGAGAAGGACAGTTTAAGAGGTGGGCACAATGGTTAAAAAAAAAAGGCAGATGTTGAAAGGATGGGATATATTGAAGGGGAAGAGAAAAGATGCAATTTGTAGGAAATCAATGGTGGCCGAGGAGAGAAGGAAATGATCAATGATCCAAGGGAACAAATGTCTCATGGAAATCCTCAGACTTGCCAATTGTGTGTTTGGACCAAATCTTCTTTTCTCTCTCTAGACAGAGAACTTCTAGGCATGACTAGG